GCCACGCTCCGTCGAGACTAGTTAAATCCCAAGTGTCGATTACTTTCTGCTCTCCCGCAGTAGTCGGCACGACACAGCATACTTGTATCCTTAGTACATATTTATTTAATTAATGATCACTTAGCATTTCAACATCTTATAACATAGAATAAACTATATCAGAGAAGGTAGACTAGACAGAAACAAATCATGTAGCCTCCACTTGGCAGCCAAGAAAGTCCACCTCATACTTAGTGTTGCCAAAATTATCACATTCTTCACCAAGTACTTTTTCAGATATTTATTAATAACATTACTCCAGTTTGTTGCTGAAGCAATATCTTCATCATTCTCTTTAAATGATTTAGTACTAGATGAATGACTCTTTTTTTTATGAGCTCTTAGTATTTCTGCACAAAGCTGGCTCATAGCCAGCACTTTTTTCATGCTAATAATAAATAATAGAAAATGTGAATTAACATCAAAATTTAACAAATGGATTTAAAATACTTACCCCTAATCTATTGCATAATGGGGAATAAAAAAACCCCATGGTGGAAAAAAGTCTTTTGACTGAAGCTATGGTAACACATATACTGAATAACCAACATGCAATGTGACTTAACTCTGGTGCAGCACTGGAGTTGTGTGACCACCAGAATATTATATCATCCTTAAATTGTTTGAACGTTTTTTCTGTAAATGGGTACTTTTTTGTTTGTATTTGTCGTGCTGACTACTGCAGGAGAGCAGAAAGTAATCGACACTTGGGATTTAACTAGTTAAATGTCTAGGGTACAGTTAGTGACCTTGTCAATGTCAGGGCATTTCACTTATGGACTATTTCACCGTAGAATGATGTTAATCCTAGATAAGTAATCGCTCTCAAGTGTATATCGTCAGTTATTATCGAGGGATTATTCCGATAATCTCCCGTTTGGGGTACAATGAGTATAAATCATAATAATGCGCATCTACATAACAATTAATTATCGTAATTTGCCACTCGAATAATCGCGGGACAAGAGGCGATTATTCTTCATCGATACAATATAGGGATTAACAGTTTCTCAGCTATACTGATAATTACCAGGGAATGAATCATTAACAATGTATTTCAGAGTATAAAGAACTACTCATTTATTTACTATAAAGGAATCAAGAGTAATTAGACATGCTAAACATGCTCTTCCTTACTTTTTCTTATCTAACTGAAATCTATGCTACTTATATATCTTTCGAGCAGAATAATTGATCTATTTTTAGCAGCTAATTCTAATATTCTATTGATAGTCTAACTGTATACGTTTGAATAAACTGAAGCATTCTGATAGTGAAGTCCCCCAATGTCACTCAAGTCTACTAATCATTTTTGCTTTAAATTGAGACTGTTCAAGTTCTTTAAACACTTGCATAAAAAATGCAAAAGAGTGTAGGCAAGCCTTGTCATGCTGCAATAAGGTCAAGAGCTCTGCAAAAGGGATGAAGTATATTGCACAATACTATAAGGGAATCCCAAAAGGAGTCATGATCAATTGTACTCTTCACAAGCTTCAATTCATCATCTGGTGCAACATCATCCTTTGCTGTAAGAATCTAAATGAGATAAACAACTTTAATATATAATAATTATTAAAAAAAAAGGACTAACCCTTAATGCATATCAGCTCTTGATGATACTAACAAAACTATCAAAAAAGTTATTCCATCTTGTTGAACATGGTGTAATAAGAGTAATGTGTTTTTTTAAAACATTTATTTGCTCCTTGCACAAAATATACTGAATGATGATGAAAGAAATAGAAAGTGATAATACAAATTGCACATATGTGCACTTGTGGTTTTGAATTTTATTGATTCCTTGAATACCTCTCCAACACAACAGTTTGCCTGGTGAGCAAAACAGGGAGAAACACTACAGTCAAAGCTCGTTATAATAGACAGTTGGCATAACCCATGGATGCCATTATAACATGCATCCACAATAACATGCATGATTTGTTATAATGGACTTCTTAATATTGCACATGTAATTCCATTATAGTGTGATTTTTTCCATACTAGAAATTAAAAGTGTTACACTTGGCGTCACTTGGAAAATTTTTGCTCTAAGAAGCGTACGCTCTACTAACATGCAACTGAAATCGCATTCGAAGCATCTCAAACTCTAAACGAAGCCAAACTACAAGTGGGTAACTACGTATATACGCCGTTGGCTTACGGTGTTAATAACACGTTAAACAATATATGCTCGTTCTCTGGAAAGGAACTTTGGCTCTTTTTCGTTCACATGTACTGTACGGTTAATAATGAGGACTAAGCAATATGTTTATGTGTTAAATCACTTTTTACCATTTTGTGAGCATCAAGATGAATACATTATATTGTACTAATTGATCTATGAACTACTATTTAGACGCTTTGATGCTTTTGAGATACAAGATATCCCATTCCGTTGAATCATTATGAGGTTAAGAGTTCAATAGTCAACTACTGGATCGTAGCAAAGCGTCAACGGGAAGACTGTCAATTCTACCAAATATTCTATCGCAATATAGAAATAACGTTATCGAATGAAGATGAAGATTGCGTATATAAGTAATGTTCAGATAAAGGTACAATCTGCGTATAGCTACACTAATCGTACAATAAAATATGCTCTCTTTTTCGACTTCTAACAAATGTCTATAGCAATATAGAACAATCATGGAAATAATGTTATCGAATGAAGATGAAGATTGCGTATATGGGCGATGTTCAGATAAAGGTACAATCTGCGTATAGCTACACTAATCGTACAATAAAATAATCTCTCTTTTTTGACTTCTATAACAATATAGAACAATTATGGAAATAATGTTATCGAATGAAGATGAAGATTGCGTATATAAGTAATGTTCAGATAAAGGTACAATCTGCGTATAGCTACACTAACCATTAAATAAAACAACCTTTCTTTTCTGACTTCTAACAAATATTCTGTATAGTAACATAGGAAATAACGTTACAGAATGAAGATGAATATTGCATATTTAAGTGTTGATTGATAAAGATAGCTACATTAATAGGTACAAATAAGACAAAATTTCTTTGTGATGATGAAAGTTATAGTAAACTGAAGTAAAGTGGCAGTAATACGCTGTCGAATGTTTGTTCATTTACGCGCGCAAATGTATTCCACGAGAAGTCGAATGTACTGCATCTGACAAGAATGTGTGTTGACGCTTACAGTTTAATCTCATCGTAGAATGTAACAAACAAATAAGTATCTTATTTCCCATTCTTCGGAATAAAATGGGCCGATCATTTTCGCCTTTGATTTTCACATGCATTCGTAAAGAACAAGCCTATGAATATCTACGTAACTCGACGCATAGCAAAAAAAAAAATTCTTACTCAATTGTAATCATGCCGTGAGTAAACCCCGTTCGCGAAACACTCAAATTAGTGAACGCGCTTGTCAACAATAATAAATTTAAATATAAAATGTTGTCGAAATTGCAATTTTTTCAATTGTCGTAACTGATTTCACATATTGATCTAAGCTTTAACGTATTTTTTTGTAAATATGCCGTACTGCAACAGTTGCAAAAAACAGCTCCCTGAAGATGCGTTTAAAACAATTAAAGACAGTATATCCAAGGTCTGTGCTCAATGTTTAAGTAAAAGACAAATTAAATATTGCAGCTCGAAAGGCGAAGAACCAGCAGCTTATGACAACCACATTAAAACTCCAATCAATGATTTACCCATACATGAAGAATCGTTGCGGTTCTGTAGCAGCTGTAAAAAACATCTTACAGAAGATTCATTCAAAATAATCCGAAACGCTTTGTCAAAATTGTGCACAAAATGTTCAATTCAACGAAAAATTAGTTATAAAAATTCAAAAGAAAAACAAATGGCAACAAGAATCTTCGAAGGCGGCTCAATCAACTATACTATCTCTAGTACCAACTAACAAAAATAGTAGTGTAATTCAACAGAACAGCAGCTCGGACATCAGTCAATCTCCAGCAATGCATATAGATAATTTATCTCAGTTTGTGCAAGAATTTTTAGATTCCGATAATTTTGAGGAACTTGAACTCGACGTTGCATTTGAGATTGAAGAAAGCACAGAAACGATAAATCAAATTGCCCAAAAAATCAGAGAAGAAATTGGAAATGGAGATGGATACAAGTGGAAGTAAGTTTGAGTAATTATTAGTTGCTTTATTTCTAAAAAATAAACACAAAGACCGCAAAACTAATAATAAAAGTTTTATAGTTACTGGAAATCTAATGTCTCAGTGCAAAATCCAGAAAAAATCAGCACGGTATACTACCTTTGCAGCCAATTTTCGGTATTTCATAATTACAAAAATTCTAATCGGAGACGGATGGAAAGATTCAATTGTAATGGTCAACTCATAGTCCGCATCAATGTTGAAATATGTAGAGCTAAAATTCAACTTAAACATTTCTTACAACATGAAAGACCTTCAACGTCGGGAAATGTTCCACGAGAAGTAGTCACTGAAATTTCCACCTAGATCCGCTACAATTACGCACCCATCTCTCAGCACATTTTGACCTCAAAGACATTACTGACAAACAGATATATTATTGGTGGAGTGTGGCTGCTGAGAAGACGTACCAAAAAGATAAAAATCCCGTTCAGTCTGCAATACGTCTTCTTGAAGAGCGATTTCAAGAAAAAGGCTGTGCTCTATTAATGACAATACTTACAGAAAGCGTAACAGCAATAGCATTTTCTTCCCCCTGCTTAACGTATCTTAAAAAACTTGTCACAGAAATACACGTTGATGCGACGTACAAGATGGCTAAAGGACGTTTCGAGCTATACGCGATAATCGGGCAATACCAAGGTACAGGATTTGCACTAGGCTACCTGATTTTGGATACAACTAGTGATGGCACTAAACTTGATATGGGAAAAATGACAATTTTGGCAGAGTATTTTTCGAAATTCAAAGACCTCGGCTTGTCACCAAGTTACGTGTTCTCTGACAAGGACTTTTCCCAAATAAATGCAGCAAGAATTGTTTGGCCAGATGCCAATATTCAACTTTGTCTTTGGCATATCAAAAAGGCAATTGTAACTAAAATGAAATCAAGTCAACGAGGAAAATACAAAAAATTTACAGCATTCGAGTTGGCAGGCCTTGATTTCGTTGATCATAAATTTGTACCGATTAACATAAATGATAGTAATATTTGTCTGGTCATCCACCAAAACAATGTACTCGATCTAGTGGAGCACCATTTCAATTTGCATCCATTAATTCCATTCGGACAAGAAGGAAATTTTTTAACCGCGGAAGAAATTTGGAGAACAGCTGTCCAAGAGATCTATCTATTTTGTCACAAAAATAATTATCCTGAACTCTGGAACTATTTATTTTTTTCGTGGTATACAAAAAATCGCTGGAATTTATGGGCAAGAAGTACAAATCCAACAATCCCATTTGGGAAGACAAACATGTTAGTCGAATCTCATTGGAAGGTCATAAAACACGATTATTTGTACCGATTTAATCATCCCCGAATAGACTATGTCATTTTTGTTCTTTGCGAAAAGGTAATTTTAGCACAAATGACCCGATTACATCAGCTGTCCAATGGAAGAGTTAATCCATATTGGTGGGAGAACTTTAAGCGCATATGGAAAACTTGTGCCACCAAAGATATCGCTACAAGCGTGGATGAATGTTATTATATATTGACATTAATAGATGGATATGTAGCTGTCCAGATTTCCTCTATAGTCGCTTTCTAGTATGCAAACACCTTGTTCAAGCAATAGGTAAAGCACCTCAACAATTGCTATACAGCGACTTCAATCGACGTACCATGTATCCTTTCTGGTCGTTTAAATGGAAACCTGGAGTTGATATTGATACACATTGCATTATGTCAGAAAACAATCTTCCAATTGCTGCCACTAAATGTGCAAATAGTGAAAATGAAGACATTATTCTTTCCGAGGAGGCTTTTCAAAAAGAACTTAAATATTATGAATCGTTTATCTCTCATATGCGGGAAGAGTATGCAGCAGGAAACCATAAGCATGTAAGCACTTTACTCCAAGGTACAAAACGTGTGCGTAGGATTATGGAAGATATAGAGAAAGAGTCAAAGAAACGGAGGAGACAGCCTATGTGGAAAAATTCAAAGCCGCATACACTATTTCTACCATCAATTTGATTTAAATAGTAGAAGCTACGTCTAATCAATAAACATATTGTTACGCCCTCATTATTAAACATAGTTGTCATGTGAATAGAGCAAAAGTTGCTTTACAGATTGTTTAATACGTTGTAATCAACCATGATGATAATAATAAGCTAACGTACTTAGAGCGGCATGCATATCAACTGTCTTTAGTTTATAGCTGAGTTGAGTGTTATTCATATTCATGTGATCTCTATTAGTTGCTAGATAATAACAAGTGTAACACTTTTAATTTCTTAACTTTGGTCATGAAATTAGGACTGGAGTGACTGAAATTACACTAGATCAAATCCTTATATGTGCATGCATGTAACGAGCCAATCAATTTTTTCGAAGAAATCAGGGCCAATCACATCGCAGAATTTTCGAGGAAATTTGGGGGGGCCGCTAATATACCAACGTCGATCAGTGGCTTAATGATTGATGTATTGTTAGGAACTTTCTAGACTTTTTTAGAGTGACCAATGATTATTGATGCGCAGAAATTCGCACATGTTGCATTAATGACGTTTAGTTAGAATATTGTGACTCAAAAAAGGTTTCTATAAAAAACGACAGAAATTGAGCTATTTTACAAAAAAACTTCGCGAACTGATTTTACAAGAATCCATACAACAGACTTTATCGTTTTAAAATGTTTGTTCTCACGAACGAATTTATTCTTGGATTTTCCTTTATTATTATAAAATCCACAAAGTAATCAATTTAATGGAGCTGAAGAAAAAATCTAAGACTAGCAAACAAATTGGCCAACGCGACTATCCACCAGAAATCGAAAACTTGTGGAAGAACTTTAAAATCTTATTTGACAAAAGGCTTGAGTTGGATTCGAATCTTTATTTCACAAGATGGCTATTGAAATCGACGAATTACTCGGTAAAGGAAACGGTCTAGCTACCTCTACAATTAAAAACTATTACCTACGGAAAACAATCCCACGGAAAAAGACCGTTGAGACAATTCAACGGTGGGTTGACGAAGAAAAAAAGGAAAATGTAAACCACTCAGATGAGAACGATGAAAATAGAGAAATAGACGGTAGTGATAATGTTATTAGTAATAGCAATGGTAAAAAATATAACAAAATTTAAATTTGCACCAGAGTGACCAAAGAATAGGTTATACTCATCAATGGCTTTGGCCCGAGTATTTTCCTCTATGCAATCACTCTGGTGCTTTTAGTATTACTTATATTTTCAAGAGCGCGCATTCAATAATCGAAATAATAAAATTTATGCTTACGAAAAATTGAATTATTTTTACATGTTTGACTCTTTGATTGCGCGTGCGATTTTCCAATTTACGCTGTCAAATCATTGTCCCCATTGTTGATGCATTCCTGAACCGCACGTCGGTCGGAAAGAACGCTGGTAATACGCTCCGACCACGTTTCAACAGAGCGTTACATGTGCGGCAATTGTGTCAATGTGAATCAAAGTTTAACGAATACACTCGAGCAATCTTTTATCAAGACTGTAACAATAAAGAAGAATCTTCTGTTGATAGGAAGCTTGATCAGCGGAGGCCTTGATAGGAAGCTTTTACGTTAAATTGCTTAGAAATTTCCCTTTACATTTCTTCAAGTTTTTGTTTCTTTTTTGGCTCATCATAAGTTGGGGTTAATGTTCGCTTATTGGTTATTATTTTTCGTTCTTCTTGATAAATTTCATAAGTAATTTTTTCGTTATCTAGATATTCTGGAGTGTTTGGGTCTCATTAATCTTAAAAACATAAGGCGCAATTTCTCTCCTTGTTCTTTCTTTAAAATGCTTCCAATAGTACTGCAATTCTTTGGTTCCATGGTAGATTAATTTCATATTATATTTTTATATATAGATAAGATAATCCAATATTAATCATGGTATAACTTCAAGCAAAAAAGTTTATAATTAGATTTAAAAATGCAATGAAAATTAGTTCATGTGTTGTGCATGAGCCAAAGCTGTGCCACTAAATTAAAGCCTTCCCAAAATGTTAGTCAATTCAGCTACATCAGCCATTTTTAACTCATATATTCAAATGTTCACTTTGTCTGGTTTTGTTACAGCATACCCCATGTAATCAAATGATCAATTTGTTTGGATTTCACAGGGAATAAACATGCCAACAGTCAATAGACAAAGGTCAATATTTTGAGCACTGAGATGTTGACTGATTTATCACGTGATTTAAGTAGCACACTAAAAATATGAGATAAAGACAATTATACTTGTCAGAAATTTGTACATATCAATCTTATGAAGCCTTACCAATAATTTTTACTCCTATATTTTTATTTATTATTGAGCATTTCTAACTGGTATGCTTTCAAGTTTGTTACATTGCTCCAATTTATTATTGTTGGGTTGAATAGAGATTTAATGAGGTGCAGAGAACTTGATTTTTGTTGGAAAGTGTTTCTGTAAATTTGTAATTAGGTAACCACTCACTTTCAAATATTTTGTCTGAAAATGTATTAAATTACCATTATGCTTTACCTAAATACATTTCTTTTATTTTATACAAATAGATTATTTCTTACCATTTGTAGTATTTAATGTTGATAGTTTCAATAATAACAGCCATCTTACTATGTAAGATTTGCTTCCCTAGTCTCTAATAATATATTAAATGTCATTAAACTAATATTTAGTTCAGATGACATTTAAACATCTTTCGCCCATACTTTTCCTTCAAAAATTTAGTATACACTAAAGCTTGTGATATTAAAAAACTCACTCCAAAAATACGATCAATTAGCTTGATTGGATTATGTGACGTAAAAATTAAGCAACAAGCCATTCGAAAACGAATGTTGTCTTGTAGCAAATCTCGTTTGAATCTATGACCTGAAGTATATATCAATGAATGTAGCCTTTTCGAAGTCTGGGTCTCATTCAAGACGACGGCTAATATCAACATCAATGAAAATTAACTGTTTGAGTCGTTTTCATTCCTATAAGAATCTAATCGCAATTTTTAGTCTATTGCGAGGAATGTCTTTAATCTTAAACAGGGAATTCGTCCATTGAATATTGCATTTCATTATTCTAAATGTATAGAGCAAACGTCATTATTATGTTCAGTTTCAGTCATACTAAAATGATTGTCTGCGTACACTTAAATGAAAATCATTATTATTGTAGTACAGCATAAAACTTAAGTGAAAGTATAACAATAACGATTATTACCATAATTCGCTAGCAACAGATCGAGGCATAACTAATGATGTCATGATGATAATATGATTATTAAATCACGTGTAAGTTATGAGCATTATAAAGTCCTCATGACATTTTTTTTTTTTTTTAAAAAATGTATCAATTCAAGAACTACCCTACCCAAGTTACCATCTTTCTTTGCTGCCTGCTGCTTGCTGTAGACGCCATCCGCAACGGTCCGTGTTACGATCCGGACAATGGCCCAGGTGTATGTATTCCCACTGGCGAATGCTCTCGTAATGGAGGAAGTTACCGGTCAGGCTTCTGTCCTCAGGACCCAGCAGACATTAAATGCTGTTATAAACGTCCCTGCGTACCAAACTTGTCATCAAGTTGTCAGTGGCGAGATCGGCAACCTTTTTGCTATGGTCATTTCCAGAGTGGTTAGTAATATTATTCTTTTAGTAACTCTTTGCAGAATCTTGGTTTAATTGTTTTGTTTTTTTGTTTTGTGCAGGGTTATGTCCTGGACCTTCCGATTTTCTTTGTTGTATTTACAAGTGAGTATATATGCTTTTAGTTGTTCTGTATACCAAAATCTCACGCTTGTATTTTCGAAGGAATCAACCGCAATAATCTCTTACATTTACCGGTTGTTGTAAGAGCATTCGCAACTGCCGACTAATTCAATTTTCATTCTTTGACCGTTTGCTAAACTTAGCTTCATAAAACTAACCTCTTTAAGTAAGATGTGTTTTAAGCGTTTGAGTAAAGTAAACAAATGAGACGTGGGAATTGATAAATTTACCCAGTAGGCATGTAAACTGTTTGTTATTTATTAAATGTAATTGGTTGCTAGAAAAAAAATATACGACTTTGTGATGTGGTTAGTGAGTGAGAAAAGGTGTGCGCAAATAGATTACTCGTGGAGATAAGTTTAAAAATCTCATACGTAGAAACTCAAAGATTGAAGAATAGCTTATTTATATTATTCCTCCAAGATAATTAACAGAGCATCAACAACATGTAGTTCAGAAAACTAATTTGGTTTTTCAAAAGACATTATTCCGGACCTTACTGGTTACAGTAAGATAAAACAAAATACGCTATTTCGACATGATTTAAATTAAATAATATATGAAAGTGCCTAGCATATAATGTCCTTATAAATTCGAATTATCTCAAATATGTCCCAAACGAGTTTTTGGATTGCTCTCAGTTTTGAATTGAGAAGAATAAAGTTAAAAGTTTGCATTCGTCCGGTGTTTATCAACCCCGTCACTGCCGTTCTCTTTTCCATCCACCAAATGCAAAGTCCGTTATAATTGAAAAATATTATCTATATTAGATGTTACAAAAGGCAAAGTTATAGAATTAGCGATAATCATATTACGAAAGATTAGACCTAAGAAAATTGACATTTGTTGAGTATATTTGAGCCTTGGGTGGGTGTTTAGGCGCAGACAAATTAAAAAGCTGGATTATTCACATTACCCGTCAGCTTTTTTGTTGAAAAAAAAGAGAAAGTTTTTGAGCTTTTAGTTTAGCTCGGCATTTTTTTACTTCTATTTCCGGGTCAAGCAAGCCAGTCGGACGAATAATTTGCTCCACTGGTTGATAATTTACCTTTTTGAGCAATTTCAAAGGCTAAGTTAGCAATATTTTTTTGTAGAGAACTTTTAAAAAAGGATTTGGTAGGGCGTTGTAGTCTTTGATGACCTGTTGTTGTGGGAAATATTCTACTCGCCCACTAACGAGCGGCGTTTTGTTGTTAGAGTATTTTTGTTTGTTTTTGCGCTTATGATGCTTTATGTTTTATGACCGGTTTTTTATGTGTAGCATTAAAAAAAATACTCATGTCATCTATATTTTTGTAACATCTCGGACAGAAACGGTTTGAAAATCAGGCAAAAATGTGTCATGTCATCTATATTGCTACAACTTAATTGTTGCGCTAGAAGCAGCAGTTATTCTTGGCACATCCGGAAGGCATTGTGCAATCGACGTAGTGCCAGCGCACTGATACCATCATTTGTAATGGTGTCGGGTAACGAATTTTAAAATTATGTTTCAAATAACAGATCGATAAAGCTTAGTATACCGATCCGATTTGTATGCTGCAAAATTGCGTGTATTTTACATTTTACTATTTGAGATCATCGATCAGAAAAAGACAAATATCAAACGATCAAGATTGAGTTCCGTAAACGTGATGTTTCTTTATGTTAGCAATAGTTGACTCAGAGAGTATCGTTAGATAATGGAGCATGTATTGTCATCGTGGTTGTATGTTTAATCAGCGTAGTCCCAACATTAAGCTGTTCGAAAAGTTAATCGTTGCACAACATGCACATAATCAATCTTAGCAAAAGCACCTTGACAGATAATCGACGAAATATATCAACCGGATTAATGCCAATTGGATATAACAATCCATAAATCAACAGTCCTGCGAATTTAAAAAAGTGGCTGAACAAAGACGTTACAAGTCCCAATACAAAACATCATAAGCCGGTTAAATTTCCAAAGTTAGAGCTTGTGTTAGAGTTTGTCATAACTTATCAACATTGAACTATTTTGAGTGATGCAATAATTATTGAAAAGGCTAAATTTTCTCCGGTTGGCTTCACGGGCAGGTAATAAAATCTGCTTGCACAAACTCTACTGTGAGCAATCAAGATGCGTTATTGAAAACGTCTGCTGTTACAAGAAAGCTATCCCGCAGAAAAAAATGTATATATGAACAAAACTGGCCTCTTCTACCGGTTGGAACCAGATGCAACATTTAGCAAAATCACGTCTTTCAGGAAGAAAGAAGGATAGAGAATGTTTCTTCATTACACTATTTACGAATGCTGACAGTTCTCACAAGTTAAATTTTTAGTGATTGAAAAACACGCAAAGTCTAGATGTCTCAAAAATGCAAATCTTGGCACCTGAACAATAACATGCTTGGATATTGGCGACTTTATTTCAAGAATGGTTGCATAAATTTCGATTTTAAAGTTTCTAGAATGTATGAAATTAACCTGTCTTACTTATAGTCGTCTTAGGTTACGTTGCTGTTAAATTAACGCTCTAAAATACTGAGGTTCTTCCCTACCGCTGAACACGACAGCAACACTTCAGCCAATGGACGCTGGCATCATCAGTATGCCTTTAAACGACTTTATGTCGTATGTTAAATTGAATAAGAGATGAAACTCAGGCAGATGTTTTTTATAAGTATGCGAAAAGGGGACAATTTTAAGTTTCTATCATGAATTTTTTTTATAATTAGTAATTCCAACCATATGTCAGTTTGGAATGTGACATACGTCGATTTTGAATGGACACAAACTGACATACAACATTTATCATATCCGATGGATGCTAGAGCAAGTTGAGGTCAGAAAGATGCTAGTGATTTAAAAATCGATAACAATCGAACCTTCCGTTACTATCGACACAAAACTTAGATAAAGCAAATAACGATTACAGAGATGAAGATGATGAATTAAATAACAATTTGCTAGTCGAACTGTCTGACGAGATTGAAAAGTTTAATTTCCTACTGCAGTTTGAAAGCGACAACATTGTTTCTGTTTAGCGGAGAAGCTGACGATGATGAAGTACCAATCATTACTGCTAGCATGGCATTAAAAAATGTGAAAATGGGAGAACTTTTTAACCCAACAAGCGGAACCAGTAGTTATCTGAGACTTTGAAGAATTTCACGGAAAAAAAAAACCAAAACATAATGTTAATGACGACGAGGTATTGCGCAAATTAATGCAAACCTTCGTAAATGCAAGTCTTGAGATTCGACTAAATCGTAGAGCTAAAGACCTGTTTGGGTTATGAATGGTGCCATGTTATGTCGTCTGTGTCACAGAATAATCATGATCTACAGATCACTAATATGGTCAAATATTAATAAGCAACTCAATATAAAAGTAATCCAAATTCCGAGCTACTGAAAGTCGCTGTGACTAAACGTCTTCCGTCATATTAATATTGAATTTTTATAATTGTTTTTGGTTGATGAACTCCATAATCACTGGAACAACAACGTGGTGACGATTATCGTCAATGATAGACCGACAGTCAGCATTCATAACAACAATGTTTTTTACATAGTTGCCTTTACATTTGCTAATATTGTATATCTCCATATGAAATGCATTCATTCGAATATATGTATTACACTAAAAAAGATACACTTGTGTAACATAGTATTCAATATATACACAATATAATATAAAATCTAGTCCAATATATAAGCGTGGCTCATCTAAAATTAATCGCTTGCCAGCATGTCTCCGTATACTGAGTTGGCATCTAGCAACGTTCGAACGAATTGTACATTTAATGACTATCAGGCAAGCGATATAAGCATCTGTGAAATCGTGGCGGTTGGGGGATACGGCGCAGTATTCAAAGGAGAAATAAACCAATCTCGAACAATAGTCGCAATGAAAATGTTGCTCTCAACTCGATATAAAAGTAAAGAAGAGCATGACCAACAGTTTGACAAAGAGGTTGTTAACTATCACTACGTTACTTGTTGTCCACATATTTTTCGTAACCTGAACTTACATCGGTATCGTGTATTAGCTAAACATTCTCAAGCAAGCGAGTGATAATTATAATCCCAACATTATTCAGTTCTTAGGTTCCTATAAAGGTGGGTATATAATTTTTAAATTAATAATATAAACATTGATACTTGAACGTTTTGATTCTGATTCTATTGATCAAATTTTTGTTTGTACATTTCGTATGGACACAATTCAAACCAAAATTGTTGATTTATCATTGCTAATCGTTTAATGTAAGCTATGTCATTCAAGTGGCTAATTACAAAACTATAAATTGCTTCTTTATTTAATACAAACAGATACGCACGATATACGTTACATGATTCTAGAGTACGCTGAGGATGGAACTTTGTGTAATTACTTAGCCAAGTCTTCTCACAGTTTGACCTGGCAACAAAAGTACAAACTTGCCCTGGATGTTACCAATGGATTAAGACATTTGCATACTCTTAATATTGTACACAAAGACCTGGTATTTACAACTATTATTATTTGCTCAATATAAAATCCATTGCCATTAAAATCTATTTGTGTTATATATACTAAATTTATCGCTTTTATGCAGACATCCGCCAATATTCTTATTAAAAAAGGCGTTGCAAAAATAACAGACTTTGGCTTGTCTGGTGTTCTTAACCAAGAATCGTCTATGTCAAGGTGCGAAGGGCACGCAGCATACATAGATCCAATGTGCTTTAAGGCCAGGTCGTATAAACGAGGGAAAAAATCTGATATTTTTAGCCTTGGAGTAGTACTTTGGGAAATTGCTAGCCGCCAAGTTCCATGCAAAGGATATGTTCAAAGTACTGAAATTGTCTTGCACCGACTGCGTGGATTACGTGAGGATGAGACGATTTGCAAAATACCTAAAGAATATATTACACTGTATTCTAAATGTTGGGATGAAAATCCTCATAACCGGCCATCATGTGAACAAGTTTATCGACGCCTAAAGCCATTACAACGAACAAACTCCTCAAAATATCTTGTTTCGTGCAAAAAGTTGATAAAGCGTTTAAAATTCGCAGGCCAGCCGTCGTATTATCATTATGTTATTACACAGTAAATTTTACTTTAACGAAGACATTCGTTCCACGATTTTACTTCGTTAACCTAAAAGTAGGCGTTCATTGAATATCCGACTTGTACAAATTTTGTTAATAAAAAAAATAAACCTTTTTTATCTTATCTTATCTTATCAACATCAACATTATGATGCGCTTACACTATCTGCATGCATATAGCTCTTTCGATGCTTAGCATACTTGAATAGTATTCGTTAAATTAATGTGCTGTGTCAATGCGTTGCCTACAATGGAAGAAACGTCCATTTATATATTGTTATGGTACCGCCGCCCGTTTCATTTAGGGAACTTTTATTTAGCATTGTAATGGTACCTTTGCGTCATGCATGTCTCACAAGAAAAGGGGTAAATGACCACATTAACGAAATGTATTGCGCCTCTGTCATTCATGGACCAATAATTTTTAGGTTCGAATAATAGAATCCATATAGAATTTTACACCAAAATCTACGCATTCTTAAGTACAATGATATTAGTAATATATTATTGTATGTCTTTACACCGACCGATTGCTTTCACGTCTCATGCCATTCTCAATATCTCTAAATTGGGTTATTTATGTATTATAATTCAAACATTTGAACGCATTGACAGTAATATTTGTAAGGCTTGCTACGGCATGTTGTTGATAAGCATCGGAGAGACAATATCATTACTATATGTAATAGTAAACGAATCCAAAAGAATAATTAATTGTGTTCTCATTCATCGAGTCAATCGAATTTGGTAATACATAGCAATATAATACCCATCTAGCCGTCTGATGGCTCGATGAATCGTCTTCCCCCTTCAATGGCTCAATACCGCATTTGACGAAAATCACCTTTTAAGGATATATACAGGATATACCAATTGAGGACGGCGCTGATAAGCTGTGCTACCAAATGTGCTTAAATTATCTCTTTACCTTTTTGTTGTAGCCGGCTATAAACTGATTTCCAAAATGGATTACTGGTGAGAGCGCACTAAGACAAAAGAGACCATTAATCAATATGCTAACAGAAAAAAAGAGTAAATGTAACAGATTACTCTAGATTAATATAGAAGATTAAAACTTGCGAACATTTTAATCTATAATACAGTTCTAAATGCATGGATTTACGTCTCAGATCTTAAACTTCAAGTAATCTCAATTTAATATTAATATATGACTTTAGTCCAATTCCTGATAGCAACTTCATAAATTTTAGATGTCAGACCTGATATTTGATAGCTTGTAAGTTTTTTAGACTTATTTGATAACCCTAACCCTTACACAACTTCAAGACCTTTGAGAAAGCACAATAAAGGTACATTTTTTGTAAAACCAATAAGTATTACAGCTAAGTAAATGGAGATTTCCAGAGAATCAGGATGTTAGTGATGAACTCTGGTTTGGCATTTTGGATATTATTCAGCAACTTATCCAAAAATCATGTTTTGCAATTGTTTCGCAAACATATGACAGTATTATAAGCAAATGAAAGGTTATTACATGAAAAAAAAAGCCTCCTTGCTTCAACAATAGAGTTGTTGACAGAAATAGGACGTATGCGCTTGTAGATCATAACTAATTACTGTTACTGTCAACAATATACGGCACACTATAATAATAAACAAACATAACGCCAAATTGAAGACCTCTATTGGTTCGTCCATACGTTGTTATTCACACTCACTACACATATTCCATCAGGAAGTGATGTCCAAATTTCTTATTGTGGCTGGCGCATAACAAATTTAACTGTAAACATGTGCATAAAAAATCAACAGATTCGAGGTGTTTACCGATAATACCTACCCAGATTACTTTATTCGGGTCCGTATTATTTCATCGACAATCATTTCACCGACAGTACATTTCACCGACAATTAACTACTAAAAAAGGATAACTGCGAAATAATGTTGGTAAATATTTGTCGGTGAAATGATTGTCGGTGAAATGATTGTCGGTGAAATGATTATCGATGAAATGATTGCCTCTCACTTTATTCCCCAATTGGCATCGATTAGTTTTGAATACAAAATATTGTTGTTCTAAATAGCAGTTGAACCAAATATAGCAGCATTAGCGAGTCTTTATTAAGACATGAAATAGATTTTTGAGCCGTTATACAAATACATCAAATTATTTAACAAGTTGGCTTGAACCAAACAACCGCATTATATTAGAGTAATGGAAAAAAAAACTTCATTATCTTTGATTGATTAAATCGCATGACTGGCAAAATTGTAATTTACCTTGCTACATTGTTATACTAAAGGATTTGTAGGTATAATCGTACTTTCCAAAAAATCAAATATTTATTGTTATCAAGGGTATACATCTATACCATCTATACAGCATGCCCATTATTGTTTCATAAGAAAAAAAATACTAACCAAATCGCACCCAGATGGCTATTATATAATGATACGCTGACTAAATTTGCACATGATCATATACTTACAGGAAAGTCTACCAAGGGAAATTTGCACGAATACTTGGCGCAGACTTTTTAACCTTATTAGTCCATTAGCAAACTGAGCCGATAAAACTTTAACATACTTTGTTACCAGTATATATTGTTTGCTTAACCGTACAAACGGATCAATTTTACAACTTTAGTCGCTTGATTTACCGGACACCCGTCGTTTCAGCAAGGAACTCCTCAGACGACTGGCTTAAAACTAGTAATTCACATACAAGAAACAACTATAACTGCGTGAGTGACGATATATAATATGAAATGTTACAGTTTTACGTTCAGAAGCGTCTTATTTATAGTAAATCTGTATATGGGTTACGATAAATAAGGTTTGCACACGGTACTAATGAATGAAGTGTTACAAGAAACCCCCGTTAGATTATTGTCTAAAAAAGATTAGCATGTTTGGATTGCGCCGCTAGAGTATCATATGATCTTTGTGAAAATTAAATTCCTCCCGTTGGTACTACATGCGTGCTCAATTTAAGCTAGGATATGGAAGTTTTCGTATCAATAAAATTCCATAGGTTATTGCCGTCGTTTTTAATTGCAGAACATTGGTAACAAGTATGATACTTAATATAATCATTGAATACAAAGGTTATTACACAGCATATATCGACAAACCAGACGAACGTAGAATGCAACATTCTCAACTGCTAAATGCAAGTCATGGAATCTCAGAACCTCCGTAACCCATATGCAGTTAAAAAACTGCACACCTGATCAATTTGTGCATATGTGTGTGTTGCGTGTTAAAACAACGTGACGGAACGGCAAAGACGTTTGATTCGTTGGGCGTTGAATGGCTTACTATATTAGTATTGTATCAACTGACGTATATAAAATAAGATGTTTGCACAGAAATTGTATTCATCCTCACTACAATACTGACCGATATTCAAACATGGGAATACCAACAGCAACAGAAAATAATAAACCACTCACATCAACATCAACACACCTTTCCGACTACGGCACATTTATATCACAAGACGATGATAACAAGTCCAAAGACTGTGATAACAAAAAGTCCACTCACAATAACGCAAATAAACACGTTGACTGTACTAGTCAAATTGCCGACTCTACTGACTTAGAACATCAGGAGACAAACTCTCTAATTTGTCGTCAGAGGCACAGTATATTTTGTACATCGTTCATATTACGAAATAAAGTCAGCGTTGCCAGAGACATATTATGTAAGTAATACTAAGGTGTATATGTAAAAACGAATTGTAGTGTTCCAGGTACTTGTATTCCAGGTACTTGTATTCATTCACATTTCTGCTCTTTCTTTAGCCCTTGAACGCACGTTTTTATCCTACCTTCGCTTAAGCATGGCTATAATGTTAACAGGAGTGTTGCTAACATTTCCGTCTCCGATTCCCATAATATCGATTCCTCCCGAAACATTTGCTCTTGATCCATCACCACCCGAGTCTTCCATGACGCCCCTATCGATATCTCTCATTCTAATTGGCATGATTCTCCTTGTCTGGGCCTGGACACAATATTTTCGATTTACAACTCTAATAGCAAACAAAGTACTTGTCGTTGAGAACACTTGGACAAACTACTTGGTTGTATTGGTAATAGGTGGGGTTATCGGATGGCTATATCTGCAGAATGCATTGCATGACGATGAAGATGTAGACAAGTTGAAAGTTGTTGGTCTTGTGATTTATTGAAATGAGTCGGTGAAAATATTACATGAAAGACAATACCGATGCGCTTATACTCAAGTGATCGGTTTTCTGATTTTCTAACGAGATGGATACTACAATTCAGATAGTGATCGATGGAGTGATAATAATCGAGTTGTGTTACAAATAGGGGTGCCCCTCACACAAATCCACAAACGAAAAATCTTGCGTTTTAGTGTGCAAACTTTAAACTCTAAATTGTTGAGGGAATAAAGCATAGGCTGTTAAAGCAGAGGTCTTACACCTCTAGGACACTCAAAAAAGACGCAAGCTTTCGTACAGTATGTCGAGAAAAGCAAAGAGATAAGAAGTTTATATGATTTGTTGTTCAGGTTGCAGACAAATAATCGGCAAATGGGCTAAAACTAGGTTTAATTTAGCACAAGCCAACTGTTTGTACCACAGTTTTTGGCGTAAGCCGCTACATATGTGAGACGGAATACAGTGGTGAATCTACATCGTTACATGTAGAAACCGCAGTACAATTTTCGAATTATTCTTTACTCAAACATTGTACTCGAACACTTGCCTGGAACGTTATTGCGTTAAATACGTAAAGGTATTGTTGACCAGAAATCAGGAATAAAAAGCAAGATTCCGTATTAAACATATAAAGACTTTTGAGAGTAGAAAATCATTTACGCATCTAGTGCTACGATACTTAAAGTTCTACTATACAGTATTAGACCGACCTTAACCTGTACAGTAGGTCGTAACACAGCAGTAAATGCAGGAGATAGTTAGTCCCCTGTCGCTATTAATTAACAGGATAAACATGCAACGTATACACATCGGACAGGAAACTATCCCCGTAGGCAGATGCATAGAAAAATATGCTTCCGTTTGACCTATTATTATAATTATGGAAATAACGATATCATAAGTCAACTAAGTAGTTGCTTCAAGTGAGACGCTGAGAAATTGTTGGTTTACCATTTCAAATAATATATAAAGTATTTATTACATTGTTATGACGTATAAATGGACTCAGTACAATACCTATATATAGTGGAGTATCAAAAGTATTAGAAATGCAGACAATTTAATACAATTGTTAATAGTAACTACCCACGTAATTTTTATACCATATTCGCCTATATATTGGCCAAACATATTTTTGCCTATTGCTTTGATTTAATCTATCACAGATTGTGAAAGCTGGTTTTAAAATCTCTACCATTCTCGTTTTTTCGCATAATGTCTTGCTACATTTTTGGTGGAGAATGTTTTACTGTTAATGAAATGCAATCTTCATGAATTCTCTCCTGACTTTCTTCACATTCTTCAGGTTTTCGAAGCTGAAACCATAGACTCATCTGCCCAGTTTTTTTTTCCAGTCCCCCGCAGTCCCAATGTCTTCTTTCTATTGCCCGAAATAAAAGGCTTTTTCGAGGTATGCAGAAATGCAAAATTTTCCTTATAAGTGCTTGCAAATTGTTTTTGTTTTTGATTTCAGCAGAAAATATGTCAGAAATTTTTATTAGTTTTTGAGAACCATAGCCTTCAATATTTATCTTTATGGCTGTCATAAAGTATAGTCGGTTGATCTTTTTTGAAAGCTCACAGTTCATAAGCTGCAACGCATCTTGTAATTGTTGTTCGATGACATCCACAGCTTTTGCATTATCGTGGCCTAATTTTTAATTGCAATAATGCGTGTAAAAGTTAATTCTTTAGCAAGACATTATGCGAAAAATCGAAAATGGTAGAAATGTGAAAACTAGTTTTTACAATCTGAATAGGCATAAATACGTTTGGCCAATATATAGGCAAATATGGTATAAGAATTACGTGGGCAGTTATTAACAATTTTATAAATTGTCTGCATTTCGACTGTGCAATACTTTTGACACCCCTGCAAGTACAGTCACATGTTATCTAACAATATACATTGCCTGGACAAAAGTATCAGACACCCTAACTTTATTAATTGCTCTAAAGTGTGCATAATAACTGAAGCTAAACTTTTTATGAAACGCGATATAATTTTATGCGCGTTGTTTATATTTATTTCCTTAGTAAACAATATAATAAACGTGATTGGTGTTTTAACTTTTAACTTGAAAATGTCCGACTTAACCGAAGCCGAATTTGGCCAAATTATCGGGTTTAAGAGTAGTGCTACAAAACTGTGCATATCTAAAACTCTTGATTTCCTTAGAGCAACAGTAATACGAAAATTTAAAAATTTTTTTGGAAAAAAGTCTCGCAACCCAACCACGCAGTGCCGCTCAGAACTTTTAAATTTTGGGCAAAAAAAATATTAAAACTGGTTGTTAAGCAAAACAACAAGAAATAATTGGCTAGACAAATTAAAAACTGTTTAATGAAAGAACTAATTTGCACAAACTTGAATTTTTTTTCTCGCATGCCAACATCCAACCTTTACTTACTGATCGGCAACGAGAAAGTTGCCTAGGTTGGCGTATTGAAAGAAAAATTTACCTAATTGGCTAAGCCAATCACCTGATTTGAGCATTTATGGTCAGAATTGGAAGGACGCGTTAAATCATGGCTAAAAATTGGGAACTTGAGGCCAAATTACTAACAATGTTTTGGTAAATTTAATTAAAAAGTATGCCTCGAAGAGTTGAAGCATGCATTGCGAGTAAGAGCTGGCCGACAAAGTATTAGTCTTATACATAGACTAATAAGAAGATAGACTATAACATATAAAAATTTTAACCTCAATTATTATGTACACTTTGAGCAATTAATAAAGTCAGGGTGTCCGATACTTTTGTCTAGGTAGTGTACCTTTGATAATTAAAAAACCTTTGTATTAACGTTGCAGAATGCAATTACTGTGCATGTTGAAATTCAAAATGCCATTACTGTAAAAGTAAATAATCCATTATCGCAATGGGAGGCATTTATTTCATCGACAATCATTTCATCGACAGTACACTTCACCGACAGTCATTTCACGTGACACATTGTTTATCGCACTTATCATTGGTTTTCGATGAAATTTATGTCGGTGAAACGTACTGTCGGTAAAATGATTGTCGATGAAATGAACCGGACCCATCGCAATCGCTCTTAAGTTACTTGTGAATGGTAGGTAGGAAGATCTGAACAACATTTTTTTAGTGTCAACCTGCTGGTTATCTGTATTAATAAACTCAAAATAATTTGTATCAGAAAATTTTCTATTTTGTTAGAGTAAATGTCAAGTATTCAGAATAAGTTAACCATTTATACTAATCCGTTTACTGTAAAGATAAGATTGCAGATTCAACGCTCCATTCAACGTTTCAGAAAAATAAAGACGATAAGCGAATAAATATTTTCGTCACTCTTTTTTTATGACGAATGCGAAAATTGGCAACGGATAATAGCAGTAAACATATAAATTATTAGAAATACTTCCCAGGAAATTTGATAGTAGTCAGCACCGCATATACAGTAGCCATTGTAGCAATTACACAAGCTCCTATATAGCATCCACAATTGGGCCAGCATGGGGCCTTTCTGTCTGGAGGATAACCACTACACCAATCAGGTGGAGTGTAGCAGGCTTCATTACACTTGTAACGCTTTTCAAGATTCGTGTTGGAGATGCCGTGCCAGTATGGAGAAAAGCCATACCGAACAAGACAAATAAAAGACTGAATTCATGTTACTGCTTATTTCGACTTATTTAACCTTTCGCGTGCTGCTTTGATTGAGTTTTTGAAATCAAAGCCGACGAGATCAAATGACTTGTCCACGGGTAGCGTTTACCTTTTGATAAAAATCTGCGGGAAATCTCGAACTTTTTGTTAAAACGGTTAATGACTTTCTTGTCAACAATAGTCATTTGTTTATGACCCCTTGGCGTAAAGAAAAAAAATAATTATGTGTCAACAAATGGAAAACTTTATTGTCAAACGTTAATAGGTTCCACAACTGATTTTAGAAGCAGGGAAAGTGACAATCGAATAAAAGACAATGGCGCACTAAACTAATTCCTTGTATTAGAAAGATCAACAATCTGTTTGGCGTAGCAGTAGTACGGAATACCCCAAAAAACAGACTGTCCGGGAAATACAATAATGGTGATCCCGTGGTGATGCATAGATTTTGAGGACCTTGGACGATATTGACAATAATAAGTCAATAATTACAACTAACACTATCCTTATGACATTTTGTTACACACTTCTGTTTTGACTTTCTACAACCGCACCCATCAGCAAGCACACGTACATCTTATTTGACTATTTGGCTCTTGCCGCCTCTCTTAAGGTTATTGTCTGGGTATATTATCTAATTCAGGAAACTCAGCAGCTTCTACCAAGTTTAATTCATTGCGCACCATGAGTGACATTCAGAATCCTGGAAGATCCCAACCGATACTTCTTATTTATTTCTTCGACTGTCTTGCAAGGAAGTAACGATAATCTTCGATATACGGAATTAAAATTGTAACTATAGACCCATTCTGAAAGTCTCTGTTTGTTGATTTATCCTTAGAAAGGAGCCGCTTTCGTATTTTATTTCAAGCTTTCTTTGTACTTTGTTCAGTTATTTTTCTCAATCTTGCATGCTTGGTTAACCGATTACATAATGTAGGCGGGGAAATGAGAGCTTGTACTGTATATAAAAATTAAACAAATAAATACGTTTGTTACGTCTGTCTCAGCTTCTTCGTCAGAACAATTGTCTATGTAAAGTGTACAAGTTTAGTGTCATGTATTATCTTCGCAGAGAATCGAAAAACATACGTCTTATGATTGCTAAACGTATGGTCTGTCAACATACGATTCGCAATTTTTATGTTAATCACACTGTTTACAATCCGAGTGATCGTACGGTTTGCTCATATATGGTCGGTCAAATGTGTCATAAAACAACTTTACGGGACGTGGTGGCTCCGGAACTCTGAATGTTTCGCCTAGTAAATGGCCAGAAAACTGGTTTAAATTCCCGAGTTAGATGAGAAACTGAAGTGATAGTAAGCAATGACAAGCATATTTGTGAGTCAAAAGCAAGAGCCAACGTTAGTAAGAAATTTGGGGAGACTTGGACGGGACGGGATTTACATATGCAAATGCGGGTAACAAGATTTACTGATATGCGGGATTTACACACTGCATAAACAATAACATGCATGCATAAACTTTCGTTAAAAATCTCACCTTGTTCTGCATATTGTAAATCCAAATGAGGAACAGCGACGACGTATTAACGGTTACACCATACTTCACGTTTAGTCTCAGTCATATAAGTCACGTGGCTATTACACCCGTTGTGGATAAATGCTACCTAAATCAGATTAGTGCGTTTATTGGGGGCTGAGAGATGATAGTGGTCATCTGCATACAATCTCATCTCAATCAACTGCGTCCCGTCGAATAAGAGTATATTTGAAACAAAGAGACAACGACGCATTCGCTCAATCGCATGCCATCAGTGTGTGAACTTGCATGTTATCAATTGGAGTGCATTTACCGAGTTACACTTAAAGTGCGGTAACTACCGTATGGGTCCAGGCGTAGTTCCAGCATATGAAATAGATTGTTCTAGCTACTGTATGTTATTATTATTATTACCACATATGGTTTTATTTCATTATGTTGGGGGCTTATTACAAACAATCTTAAAATGGAGATTGCAAAGATATCTCAAATATATTATCGGGAGGAATGCATACAATGTAATTGCTTCCCGTCCGATGTCCAAACAACCTAATTTCATATGGATAATAATAATAGTATTGCCCATTTGGTTTATATTTACGTTTGCCTGGTACCATTTTGTAGGTCAGTGCCAAAGGATATTTATTGTCCAATAACGTAGTATCAGCAAAAACGTTTTGAATTGTTGGGCACATAAACAAAGGCATTACTGCGGTTGGGGCTTACCCCAAGCAGCCTAACCTATCTTGGCTATTTCTATTACTTTTTGCATTACCGAATACCAAATTCCGATTAGCCTCATTTCCATTTATGTGCTGCTTATAGGGGAATAAGCATATTGAAAACCCATTACGTGTTTTTTTGCTGGGACCGGTTTATTTTTAGATCATGTTGTTAAATTTTACGCCAATCAGACCATCAGTTGTTGTGAAAAATATTGGTAAGGGATGCCACTGTCTTCGTGTTATCTTATTTTTTTGATATGTCTGATAGTTTTGTATATAATTGATTATTTTGTTATACGATCGATATACTTTGGCATTCACTGTCAATATAATTTGCTCCGGTTTGATACAGGAAAGTTACCACGGTCGCGACAAACACAAACAGTGACAATGAGTTAGCTTACGGTTTCATTGAAATCAGTGTCAGCCAATTCATCTTTCTAATTACCATAAACTTTCCGACAAAAGCAATCCTTGCATTTACCCTCCTCCAATGAGCACTCATCAAATAATTATTGTTTTGTCAAGCCATATTAGTTTATATTGATAGTGTCTTACGATACTTGCATAGATGCGATATTGTCCATGTCTTTACAATAATCTAAAAATACTTTTAAATGATTACTTATTTATTCTCACAACTATTAATAGACACTCCTTCCGTTGATATACGGCCCGGTTTATTATAAAAAGACTTACTTTTCCCTTTCGTTGTCAGCAGTTTACATCCTATTATCGTAAACAACCAACTACATTCATAATCTAATTACTGACAAAAACAAAATGAAGGCTCAATTTGTTATCCTATTCGTTGTTATGTGCTTGGCTTTGGCTTTTGAATGCTACGCCGCTCCCCCCCCTCCCGTTTGCAATATCGGTAAGTTTAAACACAAAAATGGCTTTCGACATCTGCAAAGGCTTTCTTTTTACAATAATTCTTTTTTTTATTTTTCCAGTTCTTCAGGGACAGTTTACACACCAAACTGGCGATGGAAATTCCGGCTGCTTTGGTCTTGACAGTTCCGATCCAATAAGCAGTATTACGCTTGGCAAAGCTACCACTAAGTGGACGTTTTTCTCTGACTTTGGCTGCAAAGGAACTGTTGTTGACACCGGTGTCGGTGATAAAAAGTTTGCCACTCCTATCGCGCCTAACTCGGTTCTATTGGCGTGTCCATAGATGTACATACTATTATGCAACGGTTCGATTACGGATAAACCAGACATTTAATTACATGTCGATGTTTACAAATGATGTAGTACTTTTTTTTGTCAGTTAAAATAAAAGAACGTATTTAATTCAGTACAAATAGTTGAGTTGAGTCCAATCGATGTTCTAATAATAAACCTTTAAAAATGGAACTATGCATACGTTAAAAAATATTGCTTACAATGTCATTTTTGTTAGATTTTAAGGCATTCGCTTTATGTTTTTGCTCGCATATATACAATTGTGCGCTTTACTTCGCAACATCTACAGATTCGTACAGCTTTGATAATTATATTTTAGTGAAGCGATTTGTCTGTTATTGTACTAGAGCGAAAGTCGAGTTACATAATTTGGATCTACATCGGGGAGTGCGGCACCACCGTAATAACGTTACACTTTTAGTACACAATTACAATATTTGGTTTGATTTGCAACGAACCATGGTCCTGTCGTGATGTTTACTTACAATTCAACATTTCAATATAGACTTGTTTACAATATTTGCTAGAATTATATTCTAATTTACGTTCGTCGGAACTATTTTATATTACAACCACTTTGTGTGGGTATTTGAAGTTGAAGAACACATCTACTTTCTAATATGACGTTTCGAGATTACGCTTTTGACCATTCTCTATTAGAATAAACGTTTTAATTATTTTTACATAATAACTGCTCAGCAGTCATTGCGATAATATAAACCATTAAGTTGAGAGTGCATTGCAGGACTAGCCCTTTGCCATATTTTTTGTCCTACAATTTGTGTCTATTAATAAACTTCTTAAATGACAATCGTGGAAAGCTTTGCCATGTCAGCATAATTCTAAACTAAATTACCTGTTCTGTATTGCGCTGCAATATGTTAATTTAAATCTGTAGTTTATTAAATTCTTAGTTTAGTGTTTATTAATATATTATGTCCCAAGTCAAAAAATGTCACTTTTATCGAAAGTTTGAACAAATTAAAATTTGAGTGTTAGTAGCATATTATATCAACTAAAAACAATAAACCTAATTTATCTTTGACCATCCATTTTGTATGCCGGTTACAAAAAAGTGACAAAGATAACTGTGGAACAAAAAGTCTAAAAACCGGTAAAGAAATTTTATTCAAATAGCTATTATTCTGACATCAGAATAAGTAATAGATTTCTCAACATCAAACACCGGGCATTGGATTATGTATTAGCCTATTAATTTTGCAGCAAAGTGCAACTCGTTATCAAAAATAAAATCGAAAACGCGCGCGTAAGCGGGTTACTTATACAGCATGTAGATAAAGGACAACAAACATGAATGTGTCGTATGAAAATTGAAACGATTTGTACATCTCGAGTTTAAGTCTTACAGAATGCGCAGATAGTGAGCAGAATGTTGTGTAATAAAACTCTAAATGTCCATAGCATTTATGGTATGGAAAGTACAGCATTACTTTATTAAGCATATTGTATAAAAAATACAATAATGTAAGCAATTATCTTTGACATTAATCAAAAATGTAAACTATTGCTGCTAGCATGACCACTAAATTTTTGTTCGCATGTGTAACAAGTAAACTACGCCAATGCGGGTAAATTCCAAGAATAATATCATTCGAACTATTTAGGAACAGATAATTTGAGTAATTTGAATTGTACAAATGTAACAAACTTGGTGCCAATAGCAACGACGTTTTTTTTTTACATTTGTAATCATACCCAGTGCCAGATTTGCCAACACAAGTAGCTTTTGTACGTTATTAAATCAACTCCGAAGCAGCCAGATTGAATGCAGTTTTCAAAGATTGAACCAACAATTAAGAACACGATAATTGATTGAAATTTATACTTTTGAATTTTGTACATTTGTCTGCGGTTAATATATTCCATTGTACGCAGATAATACACCACTAACATGATATTAATGTATGACCTGGATTTATCTAGAAGCATGTTAATAATATAATGTCCCAAAATTCTCTCACTATTTTATTTTGGTGGGCAAGTTAATTTGGTAACACCAGAGCCAGTGAAAGTCCTTTACAGTTTTCGCCACTGTAAAATCGTTGCTGGGTGTACTGGTTATACTTATGGGATCTGGATCAATTCCGAAACAGCCAGATTGACCACTGACTGTGGGGGTAGATTTGCCTTGAGAACTAAGAATGGTATTAATACAAAAAAAGCCTTTTCATCATGAACAAGTCTTACAATTTTATGCTACTTACCAAGATCACATGGTGTTTGAGCATAGGCTCCAGCGGCCAAACTGGCAATCAAGAATATGAGGATTTCATTTTCTTCTTTGTTTTCGCTTGCGAGTTATGTGATTTGTGTGTGCAAACGTGTTCGATTGTTCACGATAAGATGTGTGAGCTGGCTGATGATTATTACAAAGAGAGGGCAAATCTTTTTTCGGATGCTATAAACAATAGAACGGTTTATAGCGCATAACTGTTTCCGTCCAAATTAGCCATTTAGCACAATAATTGCTAAGCCATAATGCATAGCGCATGCATTAACGTTCAATTGTCTATTATACGTGAAGCGAAAATTAGCACAGGAGTCATGACAGCGATTTTTTAAAATAGGTACCACATCATTAGTAATGAGAAGTTGGGCTATTTCAAGCGTGATCGAAGATATGCTTGTATATTCACTGATTGGACAATTTTAAATGACTAGCAATTTCTTATTAGGAAACTGGGACCAAAGTACTCTGTCTAGACTACCTTCGGTATAGTCCAGTAGCCCATTGGGCTCATGTAGGGAAAAAGAGTAATGTTTTCATTTACTGTTATTTCTATAATAATAAGCGTATCTCTCTAAAACACCAACAGTCCGACATCACATGATAACAGCACATGTTGCATTCACGCAGTAAAGCATAAGACAAAGCAAATGCACAACTTATATTTTGACTTAGAACATGTAAAATTCAGTTATTTATATATATTAAAGCAGCGTAGTATCTTAAATATCCGTATCGACTCTTGTATCATGTTTTGAGCGTCTCATAAACTCGATCTCTTATTCTTAATGCATACGCATCATTTGGTCCAATCTTCAATGACTCTTGAGAGCGGTCAATGCATTACGATATTCTCTGAGATTGAAATAGACATTACGTGCATTATTTGGCTTTATCGCTAATGACTTGTTGAGATCGTTTAATGAATTGTCGTATTCTTCTAAATCAAGATAAACGTTCCCTATAGTCAATGCGTCGACTTGATCAATCTTCAGTGTTTATTTAGATAATTAATGCACGAATACTGTTGTAACATGTAATTAATATGTCTCCCTTTAACGTTGTTATTCGCTTAATGTACACTCTTACTGTTTAAGTTCACTTATAAAATACCCTTTTACAAACGGTGCAATACGTCATCTCGTTCAACTTATAATGCTGTTCAAACATTGTGCACAAGTCCTCACTTATGTATCATTTGGTTCAATCTCTAACGATTTGCTGAGATCTATTAGTTAATTGTTGTATTGTTTTAAACTTAGATAGACCGACTCAATGCCCACGCATCATTTGGTTTAATCTCTAACAATTTATTGAGATCAATTAATGAATTCTCGTATTGATGGATCGGCAAGTACCCCACCCGTTTTTGGTATATCCGCAGTAAAGTCACGTTTTCACTGATACCCAGCATTTTTTGATAGTCATCTGTTCGAATAAACTATCTTTTTGCCTAATTTGTTTAATTTCGTACAATATTATTTTGACATCATACAAGACGGTAAAATTGACTTTATCGTGTCTCGTATTACGAATTAGTGATTATATAATACAACATAGTGATAGTTTTCGTACGCGTCCCTCTCCTCTGAAGACTTTCGTTCGATTGAACTTCGCTTCATCGAGACTTCAATATTGATTAAAATCCACATATCTGGCAGAAACTGTCATATTCTGCAGAGAAGATTGAAGAAGCTTGCAGAAAAGTATTAATGACTCGGCTCTTCGAAAAATAATCTCGTCAATATTTAGCGATTTTGTCCATATTAATATAATAATTGATAGATTTCGATACCTTTATTATATATTATAATTAGCATCGCTCATGTTGCTAGTTAATGAATAAATCATTATTAAATATACTGGGTTACATTTCAATGATGCAATGCAGTTAATCGAATACTACTGTATTTCTAACGGGTCCGTATTATTTCATTGACAATCATTTCACCGACAGTACATTTCACCGACAATTAACTACCAAAAAAGGATAACTTCGAAATAATGTTGGAAATATTTGTCGGCGAAATGATTGTCAATGAAATAAATGCCTCCCATTTCTAACATACTTGGAATGGTTTGCAAAAGAAAGAGGACCGGGGATATGTCTGACATCATGGATCGATTGAATATAGTCATAATTAGCTAATAATAACGCAACGGATAAACCTCAGGGCATTAATAAAAACGCGGATATGTAAAAAACAGAACCTAAATCTGGGTACATGCCGATCTATCATCAAAAGCGGAACTCCTGATATATCAAAAACGAAACTTTTGCTTCACTGACAGGATAGCCATTCACGTGACACATTGTTTATCGCATTGGTTTTCGATGAAATTGAAATTTATGTCGGTGAAATGAACCGGATCCCTTTAGATTTAAATAGACACGTCCCTTTCTTTCAATGCCCACGCATCATTTGGTTTGATCTCTATCGACTTGTTGAGAGCAATTAGTGAATTGTTTTAGATTTAAATAGACACATCCCCTTTCTTTCAATGCCCACGCATCATTTGGTGCAATCTTTAACGATTTGTTGAGATCGATTAGTGAATTGTCGTATTGCTTTAGATTTAGATAGACAGCTCCCCTTCGACTTAATGCCCACGCATCATTTGGTTCAATCTCTAGCGATTTGTTGAGATCTATTAGTGAATTGTCGTATTGTTCCAGATTATTATAGACACTTCCCCTTACTTTCAATGCCCACGCATCATTTGGTTTGATCTCTAACGAT